GGACTATAAGCATATCTAATTTATCTTTTCAAATCGAAGAAAAAATTTAATTCCTGGCATTATGCAGCTAGCTTAACACATATTAATGAATTGTTGTTAAATGCCGTCGAGTCAGTTCCGATTCACAGCAACCCTGTACATGGTTTCCGAGGAGTGGCGTGTGAGTTTGAACTGCCGACCTTGCAATTCAAACCAACCTTGCAGTCCAGAGCATTAACTCACAGAACCACACCAAGCCTCCACTATTACTGAATACGCAGATGAATTTCCCCACCTATAAACACCTCTTCAAATAAGCCATGTCCTTTCAAGTAGTGTGTGGAGGAAGGTCTAGACAAATAATGTCTCAATAACTTTTTAATTAACCCATCCAATTCCCAGTAGCCATTCCAAATAAAATCAGTATGCCCTAGCCACTCCACTACTACCGAGTAACTACAACTTCCTTATTCCTTACCTTCTTCAGGGGCAGCTGAAGCTCCTTCAGGTAGTATAGGCTGTAACTCCCCAGTTTCAGAATTATTTTCCAAATCAGTCATTTGTATTCCTTCCAGATGATCTCCTTTAGCATTAGCCCTGAAAGGAGAAAATAACTTGATATTTTTGTATAACTAGTCATACTGATGAAGATCAAAGACCATAACCTTTGGTTTGGTATGGGTTGCACCTCAATGTAAAGAAAACAAATATCCTCACCAGCAATGAATATAACATCATGATAAATGGAGAATAGATTGAAGTTGTCAAGTCTTCATTTTGCTTGGATCAATCATCAACAATCATGGAAGGAACAGCCAAAAAATCAAATGGCGTACTGCATGACATAACTCTATTGCACGAGGCCTTTCTAAAGTGTTCAAGAGCACAGGTATCAGTATGAGGATTAAAGTGCACCTGACCCAAGTCATGGTATTTCCAACAGCCTCACGTGCATGTGAAAGTAGGACAATGAATAAGGAAGACCATACAAAAACGGATGCATTTGAGTTATGGTGTTGGAGAATACTATTAAAGGTACCATGGACTGTGAGAAAAACAACATCTGCGTTGGAAGAAGTATAGCTAGAATTATCCTTAGCAGCCAAGACAGCCAAACTTCAACTCTCATACTTCGGACATGTATATTACCAGAAGGGACCAGTCCCTGAAGAAGAACATGATTCATGCTTGGTAAAGTTGAGGGTCAGTGAAAAAGAGGGAGACCCCCCCAATGAGACAGATTAGCACAGTGGCAGCAGCAATGGGCTCAAGTGTAGCAACAATTTTGAGGATAGCACAGGACTGGGCAGTGTTTTGTTCTGTTGCACATAGGGTCGCTATGGGTTGGGAACCTACTCGAAAACAACTAACAAGTCAGGTGACATATTGGACTGCTAACTACAAGGTCAGTGGTTCAAACTCACTAGTCACTTGTTGGAAACCCCATACAGGGTCACTTTGAGTTGGAACTGACTCGATGGCACACAACAACAAAGTCAGTGACACAACAATTATTTTCTTTTTGTCTCAAAATTCAGCACTACATTAAGCAGGACTTAGAAAACTGTTACTTAATACTAATTTTCTAATTTTACTTAAAAAGAAAAACTCACGATGAAAACTTAACGAAATGATGGCTTATATATCTTGTTTGTGAGTTTATAACTAAGGGCATACAACTATCTCCATAACAAATAAAATATAAAAGCTAGTTAACAAGCCAAGTCCAATCACATTCAATACACTCCTGTGAACCCAGGTGCAGAATTGTTTGGCCAGCAATTTGGCAAGACCTGGGGATTCCTGGGCCCAGAGTCAGTGACAGATTGAAGTGTCCAGCTGATAAGAAGAGAGGGCATATGCACAAGAACACCCACACTTACAGATAATACCCACTTGACCTGGCTTCAATTGGCTGGATGATCAGAGCTCAACTAGAAGAAGAAAGAAGAGGAAAAAAAGGGTGATCTGATACAATTTGATGAACTTGACCTATACCTATGAATCCAGTAACTCAAAAGAAGGAAACAAATCTTTACAGTGAGGATCATTCCCACGCCCTCAATACACAGGGTAGACAGGGATGGGCAACTTGGACACTGGTTACCCAAAATGGGGGTGGGGGGGAGGGTACAAAGGCAAGAAGTGACTGGCTTACAAGCTTTCAAGAGGAAGCCTAGATCCAGAGGGCGTGGTGAAAGGTAGACTCTCTACTGTGTAGTATCCAATCTGTCTGGGTGGGACTGATGAAGGGAGATGGGGATAGCACTCATGTGGTACAATAGTGAATAATTACTATCAGGACTGACTGTAAAAGTGGACGTTTTGCAGCAAAAGGAGGGGAGTGGTTGACTTTGCAGTCCAGGAGCGGAGGTCCCTGGGACTATCAAGGGAGAAGAGCACAGTGCGGGACCCTACCTAGAGAAACAGTGAGGCCAGAGATGGAGGCAGAGATGATGACAAGGAGAGACGGAGCGGTTGGGAACTCTAAACCCAGAGAGGGAGAGGGGCTGTGTGCTGATGACCAGGGGGCAGGCTTGCGGGGTATATCCTTTGGTTGGTTGATTATGCATGGAGGGGATTGTAACTATGGCAATGTAATGATATATACGATAGGATGAATGTAAAGCTAATGTTCTCCCATGTAAACTATCACATAATTCACAATAAAACATTTAAAAAAAAAAAAAGCTAGTTACAGCTTCAACTTAAAAGGAACTTGTATGAGAAGGCTTCAAAAAGTGTGTGGAAAAAATGGAATTAAAAGATAAAGGGCTTTTTCCAAGAACTTTTCGAAACTTCCTTGTGTGATTAGGCAAGACAAGCCTGATGACTATATTTCTCACTGCTTAAATAGGAGTTAAAAAATATCAAAAAAACACCACCTGTCCTTTTAGATTGGGTAATGATCCAGACCTTTAAACAAACCTAAGGGATGCTAAGGAGGCCTGCGGGGCACCGTGGGTTAAACAGTGGCCTGCTAACAGCAAGGTTGGTGGTTCAAACTCACTAGCCATTCCAAGGAATAAAGATAAAGCTCTCTGCTCCCATAGGGATTTACAGTCTCAGAAACCCTATGGAGCAGCTCTGCTCTGATCCTATAGGGTCATTATGACTGGAATAGATTTGATGGTAGTAGGTTTGGGGTTATATGGATAAGAAATATATTTAATTCAAGGAGTGCTGTGGCTCTGGAGAATAAGCACTGGACTGCTAACCTCAAGGTCCATGGTTTGGACAAAGATGAAGTTTTCTGCTCCCACAAAGATTCACAGCCTCGGAAACCCTATACAGGTTCACCATGAGTCAAAACAGACTGGAGGGCACTTAACAGCATCAAATGTAATTTAAGGTTCTTTTTCAAAGGTAAAACAATTCTACTGGTTAAATTAAAAAATGAATTTTGATCAGTAAATGGATAATAATGTCTCACCAAGCATATTCATAGCTAACACATTTTATAATCATTCTACTTTTTGAATGGATGTAAGTCTCACTGACATGGCTAGAGTAGACTTATTTTAGGGAGAGATCATTTTAATCAATTCCAACTATGTGTTTTGAGGACACTTTCATAAGAGAAGACATAAAAGGTGAGATAAAAGTAGAAGGGCTTTGTTCTAGCCAAAATTAATGTAAAGCATAAATGTCTTTTTTAAAGTGTGTAGTGGGGGGAAACCCGTTGCACAAATCTTTCAGAAGGCCGAGTTTATACTGGTTACACACCAGTTTCATGAAAATGGGCTCCAACATATTTAAACTGAACGTTTGCTTTTAACTCATTCTGTTAAAAAACAAAAACAAAAACAAAAAAAACAGAGGTGGACTCTGATGCTTTAAGGATTATATCTTAATAAAACAAATATCCTGTCAATTAAAAAGAATCAACAAAAAAGTGGAAATTCCTTTTGTTCATTTTGATGTAGACTAAAAGGCTAATAAATATGGTTATTACCCCAAGATGACCATTTTCCTCCTTTTCTCAACAGTAGGTAAGCCATTGAAAACTGCAACCACAACAGCATCTGAGTCCAAAGCCTGACACTGCCGGTCTTCAGTTTTGGGCAGAATAACACCGATACTGCTGTGCGTCAAGGCCCGGGGAGAACTGTGCCTGCTTCCCGTTTGTGAGCTTCCAGGGGAGGCTTTGGAAAAGGAAGGGGAATGTTTAGAAAGGCGGCAAGTAAGCGGAAAAGTTCTCTCTGATGTTTTGACTTTAGAAAAACAAGTCTTATTCTATACACATTTTTAAACTGCAGAAAATTTTCAAAAACAATTTTTGTATCTAGAGTCTTTTATATAAAAGATTTTAAATTAAGGGCCCAGAATATGCACTCTACTGACTGAATTTTTCTTACTGGGGGTTCTGATCGGTTGTCCATCAACAACACGAATTTCAGCATTTTTGTTACCTTTTAAAGTCTGAAGTTACAACACAATGTCAATTTCAAAACAGACATCCACCATAAATGACATTAGGAACTACCCACATTTACCTTCTGACAAAGTTTGACAGTCTCCCTTTGAACGACTATTTTCCCCAGTGTCCACTGCTCTTCGAAGTGATAGGCTACCTGCGATATGGGACCGAGCTGGCTTGGGTGAATTGTTCTTCTTATTTGTAGCTGCAAAGACATTTAAAAGCATTTCTGCAGATAATGAAATAACATGAAACTCACTACCCAGGTCGCAGAGGTTTATTTTGACCTTGAATGGAAAGTGCTTTCTGTCTACTGTGGCCAAAAATAAATAGGACACTCTGAAGTTCCAATTGGTTTATTTGTATTTTATGCCAAAAACGTTTTTATTTTATTGTTCATGATGAACAGTATCAACATAAAAAACACAGAAGATTCCATAAGAAAAATAATCCCAAACACACTCACCAACCTCATTGCAATTAACTCAGTATTAACAACAAAAATATAACAACAACAAAAAAACTCTTGGAAATTATACATTATTATGGGATGAAGTTCAAAATCAATAGTGAATTAGACAAAAGTACTACAATACTTCAGTCAAAATGTTTGTGTCCAAAGCAATACTTAGAAGAAAATGTATAGACTGTTAAAAATGAATATATTTAAGGCCTTTGCTGGGCTGGTTCCTTTCTGAGGAGCTCCAGGCACGTGTGGAGGGGCCAATTGTGGACATCGGGCAGATGCAGCCCAGGATGATTTGGAAACAGAGCAGCACTCCTGAGGAACAGAGTGAGAAATCTTCCTCCATCAGGAACCCAAATGTCTGACAGCAACTCTTTTGTGACAGCAAGATAAGTAATCAAAGGTTATTCCTAGTAAGTCCGAAGACTTTGAAGCGGAAGCAAAACATTTCAAATTAACTTATTTATCCCTTCTTTGTCTATTCTTTTCCCATGATGAAATGGAAAAACTGGACTGGCAAAGCTAATGCCCTATAAATACCCAAACTACCTTCTCCAGCCAGAGCTTGCATTTAATAAAGAAAGTGCCCTTCTTTAGGGTGCAGTCCTACACTAGAAAAACAAAAAATACATTTTTAAAAAATGACCTAAGATGTATAAACTAAAGATAGAATGAAAACAATAAAGTAAAAAAAAAAAAAATGGAGACATATTTACAGGTAAAAAAATATGCTACAGGTTATGGTATCAATATATAATATTCAATTTTCTTTTTATATACCTATAACAATCTGAGATTGGAATTAAGACAATTTCATTTACAACAGTATCAAAAAGAATAAAATACTTACATCACTGAAAGAAAAATAACCCTAAATAAATGTAAAGACCCTCTGTATTCATTAACTGGAAGACTTAAAACAAAACAAAACCCATTTCTTGAGTCAATTCTGACTCATAGCTACTCTAGAAGATGGAGAGGAACTGCCCCCCAGGTTTCCATGGAAGCCAACTGTCACATCTTTCTCCCATAGATTTGAACCAACAATCTTTTGGTTAGCAGCAAGCACCTAACCTGGGCTTCTTTTAAGATGATAATACTCCCAAAAATGGATTTACAAATTCAACAAAATTCCAATAAAAATTCTAGCTGTCTTTTCTTATAGAAGTTGACAAGCTGATCGTAAAATTCATGTGAAAATGCTAGAGAATCAGAATAGCAAAACATTCTTGAAGAAGAAAGACAAAGAGAACATTCATATTTCATTTCAAATCATTACAAAGCCATAGTAATTAAGACTGTGTGGTACTGGCATAAGGAGAGGCACATGAGGGGACTTCAAAAAGTCCATGGAAAACTTCCATTATCTTTTATGAAATTTTTGAAGCCCCCTGTATAAATTAATGAAATAGAATTGACAGTCCAGAAATAAACACTGCTTTTCAACTTAAGTATCCAGCACAATTAATGAGGAAAGAATAATCTTTGCAAGAAATGGTACTGGGACATTTTGCATAAGAATAAAGTTGGAATGTAAAGCTAATGTTCTCCCATGTAAACTATCACATAATTCACAATAAAACATTTAAGAAAAAAAAAAAAAAAGAATAAAGTTGGACCCTAACCTGTCACTTGATACCATGAACAAAAATTAACTTAAAATGGTTAAAGATTTCATGTAGAGTCAAAATCATAAAACACTTACAAGAAAACACAAGTATAAATCTTTGTGACCATTAATTAGGTAATGGTTTCTTAAATGACACCTAAAGCACAAGTTACCTATATAGGCAGATATATGAATACATAAAGTGGACTTCATCAATATTTAAAGCTATACATGAAAGGGCACAAATAAGAAAGAAAGTGAAGACAATTCAAAAAAGAAAGGAGAAAATGTTTGTAGTTCATAATATTTACAACACATAAAAATCTTTTTCATCTTAATAGTGAAAAGACAAATCGTTTTTGTTGTTGTCAAGTGCCATTGAGTCAGTTCTGGTTCATAGTGACCCTGAATAGGATTTCCAAGGAGTGGATGGTGAGTTTGAACTGCCTACCTTGCAGTCCAGTGCTTTATCCCACAGCGCCATACCAGGACTCCAAAAAGACAAATAACCATATTTTTTAAATGATCAGAATGGGCTTTTTGCTGTTATTGTTATTGTTAAGTGCCATTGAGTCGATTCTGACTCATAGCAACCCTGTTTAGATTTCCAAGGAGCAGCTGGTGAACTTGAACCACCGACCCTGCAGTTTAAATGACTTTGCAGTATGACACAGTGCCACACCAGGACTCCTAGAATAGACTTACACATGGCCAATATGTACATGGAAAGATACTCAGAAGCATGGACCCTTTAACACTGAAAAGATGTCAATTCCCTAAATTAGTCTTTTAATATAATGAACTTTTAGTCAAAATATTTTCCTGGGAGAGTAAAAGATCAAGAATCATCAAAAACATTTTGTAAAACAAAACAAAACAAAAAAAGAGAGCAAACCTATTCTATCCAATAACTATTAGGTTGAGACATATCAAACTGGCATTTTTATAAGTCAAAAACTGTTACAAACTGACAATTTCACAAGGTTCAACCTCTATGAATAAGTTCAAAATGAGACCATATAAATATGGTTATTTAATCTAAGGTAAGAGATGCATTTTGTATTGCTAAAATGGTTCTCAAAAGGGATACCCTATGTTCATCTTGACACTTCTCAAAGGTATTTAACACAGGTAGTTTTCTCCACTTTGTGATATATTGCCCTCTTCTAGTTTTCCTTTTACCTTACTGACTAATCTTTTCAATTTCCTCTGCTGACCTCATCCCTCCTTTAGCAGACCTTTATTTAAAGTGTCCAGAGCCAAACTTTCACCTCTCCATTTAAACTCCCTTCCTACTTACAAAACCCCTGGCTTTAATAACTGATGCTGTTATTTACTGTTACTATTCTCAGTTGTTTTTATCGAGCTTTGACCTCTTCTTTTCACTTCATATTTGTGTGCCATTCACTTTCTACACTTTTCTATATCATTTCTATGTATTTATCAGACATCTCAAACACAACATATTTTTGTAAAAAAATTCTGATTACATGTTCCTGTCGTCTGTCAATTCCCAGAACCTGATTCTTCCTTTTATGTTTTGCATCTCAGTCAGTGACACCAAGGACTACCCTAATTAAATAGGATGTTCCTCACCAGCTCCTCCCATCCCACTACAGTTCTTTCCATAACAGCACTTAAACTATTTCCTGAGATTATTTTTATGTGTTTATGTTTTAATAGCTAGTTTCCAACACTAGAATGTAAGATACATGAGCTTAAACGTTTTGTCTTATTTACTGTCCCACACTAAGTAAGCAATCAAGAAATAGTAGCTCTTTCTGGTGTGGCTCTATAGAATCAGCATTGAACTGTGAACCACAGGGTCAGCAGTTCAAGTCTATCAGCTGTTTCTCAGAAACCCTACACAGGGGAACCAACTCAATGCTACTTAACCACAGACAAAAGAATACAGCAGAAAATACACAGAATCCAATTTAAATGACAAAAAGGCTGCATGTATTTGCAGTCTTGCATCATTGGAAGAGAGAAGTTTCAATATAATTATTCTAAAAACAACTAATGATCTAGCTTCCCAAATGGTATGGGGGAGAGATGACGTTAGTAAGGATTTTTTCACTTACCATTTCGTATGTAACAACTGGCAACTGATGACTTTGCCAGGAGCTCCATTCCCAAATCCTGTAATCTACCAGCATTTTCCATTTCACACGCAGCTAGAGCTGCCTGGTTAGCAGGAAACAGGTTCGTCTGCATGTCTCCAGAAGCAGCGTTGCAGCTTTTTATTTCTGAAAGTGTATTCTTTACATCAGTTTTCATACATCGAACTTCAGCCATTTGAGTTTTGAGTCTTTTTAGCATTTTTAAGTCAGACGGAACTCGCCACATTGCCTGCTGCTTCCTTTGATCTTTATCTTTTCGGGAATATGCTGCTTCAGAGAGAAAGTGACAAGCCATGTTAACACAGAATCTGACAACAGATGAAAATCAATTTTCTACTCTGCATATATGCAAATCTGTCAATAAGCTAAGTACTTGAGGTGGTATCCACAGTAAAAGCATGCTCTAGAGTCCATTAATGAAAATAAAGGGACAGCTAACACTACTCACACTTTTAAGGTTAGAGTCTGGGTTACATAATAATCACTCAAATCTAAATTATTTATTCAACTGTCATAAGATTAAAAGTTACCCTGTAACTTTGTGTTTTCTTTATATTTTAACTTTTATCAAAAAATTTTTACCTTGACCTTTTATTATCTTCATAATTGAAATGAAAAAAAAAATCTGGAAATTAAACATTTAATCTGTGTATCTATCATTCTGACTCAATTAAGAAAGTTGATTTACTGAACATCCGGTCACATGCCATCAAACATCATACAAGAAACTGAATCTTTGCTGCCATTATAGTGAGTTTTTTCTCTCTTCCCGAGAAAAGAGTTGTTTAATTTCTTCTCTCTCTACTCAAGTTTAGAAAGTAGAGGCAAGATACAGGCCAGAAAAATTAAGACACTCTTGTTCAATTTCAAGAAAGGAAAAAGAGGTAATTTTGGAAATCAAAGAACATTATAACTGACTTAAAACAAAAAAGCAAATAAATCTAATTAACAAACGAAACTAAAAAACAACAGGAAGCTGTTGAGAGGTTCCCTAACTAGACAATGAATAAGGCCTTTATTAGCAGGAATCAGAGATGCCCTTGCTTAAATACCTGCTACTGTTGAAAGGCAGACAATGCAGTGTGCCTCATAACCCTCCCCTACTGCAACCATGCCAAAATGACAGGGTCTTAGATGGGCAGTGATGTACTCAGACAGGTTAGATGCCTCCTTCAGTGCCAAGGAATATGGTTTATGACTAAGTCTAACCCATCCTTCTTTGACAGTAGAGGGTGAAAGGGTGGATGATCTGGTTCTAGCGAAAATCTCTTCGGTCACTTCTACCTTGACAGGACATTTTTATTATATTTATTTATTCAACAAACACTTAAAAAGAGCTTTTTTTATGTAACACATAAAAAAGTCATTAATTCTCTCATAGCAACCTCATGAGGACAGTATGATTATTATCACCATGTTATATATACATCAGAAAACTAAGGCACAGGTTATATAATATATTCAAAGTAAGTCAGCTAATCAGTTGAGCAGCTTCACTTCAAACCTAAGAGTTTGGCTTAATAACTTTGCTCTTCTGTCCAATCTTTTTTTCCTGCTAGCAACACATTTTCCTGAGAGTTTGGGAAGCCTGGAGCTGTGGCAGCTATCTCACTAGCACATGAGAAAAGGCAAGCAAAGCCCAGGGAAACCCCTTCAGTGCCCTCCCTGTCTTCAGGAACCCAGTAAGTCTGCAATCACCAATCTTCAGACTTCTTAGTATGTGTGACAAGTGCCTTTATTACTTCATCCATAAGTAGTAGCATTTTGTTTCTTGAAATGGAAAGCACTCCTCACAGAACATGACCAGAGATTTCAAAACCCAGGATTTAGTCACAGACCTCTTTAGTCTCAGACCATTTCATTGCTGGGTCTCTCTGTAAGTCCTGTTAACTTCTGAGTCAATGTTCTTATTTGTAAAATGAAGATGCATAATATATACTGAGCATGGTTGTTGTGAGACTTGGAAGATTAAATATTTGTGAAAACATTCTGCAGAACGTTACACACAATGCAAATAAAAGATAATGCTGCTATTAGTCATCCATATAGTTCCCAGTCAATCCATCATCCACCAAGCTGCCCAAGCAATTTTCCAAAGCCCAAATCAGATCACACTACTTCCCTGCTCAGAATCTTTGTGTGGCTTTCAACAGCCTTTAGTAAAGTACCTGGAATAGCATACAAGGTCTACATTATCTGATTCTACCTTCTCTCTCATCTTTTGGTGGCTTTATTGTCTACCTGAAGGGTGAATCTCAAACCTTCTGGAATTACTTGGAGCTTTCTCTACACATGAGCTATACTCTTATTACATTTCCATATTTTCATATGTATTGTTCCCTGTGCTCTCTGCCAACCCAAACTCATTATATATAACCAGAAATGTCCCCTCTTTTCTAATGCCAAGTAGCTTTTCCCAAGTCAACTTTAACAATCTAAATGTGTATAGTACTCTAGTATACCTCTACTGCTGCACTTCTCACACTATAGTAGGAAAGACAGACGCATAGATGATGAGCAACCTAAAGGTGGAAAACAGATCTTCGTGCTGTCAGTATTACAAGCTGAACAAGCCTATGCAACAACATACTCAAAATGTCAGCTAAATAATTATCATTGGGGACCCCCACCTCCCACATGGACTTAAATACAGCCCGGTTGGAGACAGTATTTCAAATAGATAAGCTGCAGGTTTCTAGAAAGTAGACCTTAAGAACACAGAGACCGAAAAGAACTAGGCTCTGAGTCCTCTTCCCACCAGAGTAGCTCTAAGTCTGTTTTCTATACCAGCACAGACTTTGTTTGAAAAATTAGTTCTGATGCTTCAAGATCAAAGTTCTAAATCACTGATTTGATGTGTATAATACTGTTAAAAAAGTTGAGAAAATGCTTAGCATATTTTTACAAGTTTTCTAACAAAAATAGATTTTAAAATACAGCTTTTAAAGGTCAATCTTGGCTATCCAAAATGACTCTGTGAGAGTTCCAAAAAGTTCAAGTTGACACAAACTATGTCATGATAAAGTAACACAAATGCAATTTCTCTTTAACAAATAAAACACTGCTGCCAATTCGTATACATCTTTAGGACATGGAACATTAAAGAATGAGAAAACAAACTTTTTCTATATAAATTGAGACACAGTTTCACTAGAATATTAGGGAATTATGAGGCCTGCAAAATGCTTATCCAGGGGTGGGGAACCTTTTTTCTGCCAAAACATATAACAGCAATCATGGGTCATACAAAATGATCAACTTAAAAATTAGCCTGCTATATTTGGTCACACATTTAATTACCTTCCCCCTAATAAGATGGCTGGAACTGTGGTTGCCTTGGAAAGGTCACACCAAATCATTTCAGGACATATGTTCCACAGCCCTGCTAACCTAAGCCCAATCATAGAGGACAAATGTATTTCATATGACTCAAACTGTCAATTAGATTTGATCTAAGCAAAAACTCATGAAAAATCTTCCTCCAAACATTTTTACTTTGTTTTTTTTTTAACATTAACAACAACAACAAAAATAATTTGGTTAATATAAAGGCCATTTCTATGACATATAGGCTAAGTAGAAAATTTTAAAAATCAATTTGCTACCGAAATAAACCATGTTCCAACACTTACATGTAACATTTAGATTAAAATTCAAGAGATCTTTTGGAGAAAGAAAGAAAAAATTTTAAATGATGATTATAATACCTGTGGGCTGTAGAAGTGAAGCAGGTGGGCGAGGCTGTAAGCCCCACAAGTTGTCCATACTGCTCCGGTCTTTAAGGTCCAACAGATGTATTAGGATTAAAGGATCAATGTCTAATAAGCTACTGGTAGCAGCAGAGCACAAATGTGCTCTTCTTGGCATCCTGCTCCCAGCACCCACATAGCCATGACTACTACCTGCAGAGAAACAGAAATGCAGGCAATATTATTTACACAAATATAAGGATACCTAAAAGGAAAAAAGCCAAGCTGGTTAACACTGTCAGTCTCGGACGTAACTTTCTAGTGACTTATGCATATTACGCTGTTGTTGTTAAGTGCCAGCGATTAGGTTTCTAACTCATGGCGACCCTGTATAGAGTTTCTGAGGAGCGGCTGTTGAGCTTGAACCGCCAACCTTGAAGTTCAAACTGACCTTATGGTTTAGCGCTTATCCTACCAGGACTCCTATGTATATTACAGACAAGTACATTATGTTGTTGTTAAGTGCCGTAGAGTCGGTTCCGACCTATAGTGACCCTGTGTAGGGTTTCCAAGGAGCAGCTGGTGAGCTTGAACCACAGACCTTGAAGTTTAAACAGCTTTGCAGTCTGGTACATTAACCCACAATGCCACACCAGGACTCTAAGTACATTATAGATAAGTATAAACAAGTATCAACACCACCTATTGAACTGAGCTCATTTAGCCAAGGACAAAATACTATATTTCTCTAGTGCCAAGCACAATGCCTATCAAATATTAGTTGTTTAGCTGTTAAGTGCCATCAAGTTAGTTCCAACTCACAGCGATCTTGTATAGGGTTTCTGAGGAATGGTTGGTGAGCTTGAACCACCGACCTTGGGGTTCAAACTGATTTTGCAGTCCAGCATATTATCCTGCAGTGCCACACCAGGACTGCAAAACTATTAGATAATGAAGCGTTAAAAGTGACCTCCTTCAACAAAGCTACTGAAAAATATTCTAAAGAAACTTGTTTCATTTCACCAAAAAGGATATATAAACAATCAACAAATTAATGAAAAGCTGCTCAATGTCCTTAGTCATTATGGCGATGCAAATCAAAACCACAATGCTACCACCTCATCCCCATTAGAATGGCTATGATAAAAAGCAAAAATAAAACCATGCTTCATGCCCCCCAAAACAGAAAACAGGTATTGGTACAGAGGCAGAGAAATTGAAACCCTCATCCATTGGTGGAGAATATGCAAAACGGCAAGCTCACTGTGGTAAACAATTTGGCAGTTCCTCAAAACATTCAAATACAAAAATATCACAGGACCCAGCATTTCCAATCTCACCTATATACTCAGAAGTGAAAGCAGAAAGGCAAACAGAAACCTGTGTAACTTATGTTCATTACAGCATTATTCACAGTACCCAAAAGACAGAAACAGACGTTAATGTCCATCAACAGATGAGTGATTAAACAAAATGTGGTATATAGCACATGCAATGGAGTATTATTCAACCATGAAGAAAAACGAAAAAATATGGCCTCGGTGATAGAAACAATGCTGGAGATTACATGATAGAATTTGGTAAGACCACAACTTATCCATTGCAAATACCTTTTACAACAACATGAACAGCGACTATACACAAGGACCTCACAGATGGTATATATACAGGAATCAAATTGACTACATCTATGGAAGAGATGACAGAGTAGCTCAGTATCAGCCAAAATAAGGTCAGGGACCGACAATAGAACAGACCATCAATTGTTCATATGCAAACATAGCATGAAGCTGAAGAAAATTCAAACAACTCTCCAACAATCAAAATATGATCATGAGTATATCCCATCTGAATGTACTTGAGAGACTATCTCAAGAACAGAACTTGATACATTAGACACTAATGACCCAACACGA